CATACCAATAATTGGAACACGAGTTGGGTCGGGTTCTACGGGTTGTGTAATCCAAAATCCAAACCCAACCCAAAAGAGGCGGGTTGTACAAAAGAAAACCCTCACTCAACCCAAAACCTTCGATTTAGTGATAAATACGGGTGGGTTGGATCGGGTTGGACGGGTGGGTCGGTTTGAGGGTGTGTTTGTTCACCCCTACTCAGAAAGAAAGAAAGAAAGAAAGAAAGAAAGAAGGAAAGAAACTGTGCCATGCGGCAAGCTTTCACTTGCTCTCCAAATCCAACCATGGCGGCGCTTCTCTCAACTGCACACTCATCTCTCTTCTTCTCCTCCTCCAAAACCCCTAATTCCGCTACCGCAATTCACCATCCTAAAACCCATAATTTTACCTTCCTCCTCCCCCCCAAAACCCCCAAACAGTCATTAACTTCTCATCCGCTTCTATCCACTTCCCGGTTCTCGTCCCTTCTCCGGCGCTCCTCAGCTTCCGGCGAAGAATCCGAATCGGACGGGGTTACCGACGAATGGGGCGAGAAGCCGGAGCCGAAGTCAGAGTCCCCCAAGGCTGCCGCCGTGGATCCTCCGGTGAATGAGGATGAGTGGGAGGAGGGGTACTCCGACGCCGCAGTGGGTAACGGGCACACTGCTCCGACGCAGGTGGACGACGCTACCGAGGCGCTGAAGAGGAGTCTGGCGGATACGGTTTACGGTACGGATTTGGGGTTCCGGGCGGGTTCGGAGGTCCGGGCTGAGGTGTCTGAGTTGGTGAGCCAGCTGGAGGCCGTGAATCCCACTCCGGCGCCTGTTGACGCGGCTTCGTTGCTCGATGGCAACTGGGTTTTGTTGTAAGTCTTCGACTTTCTGTTGATTGCTATTCAGATTTTCTCAATTGATCGTTTTGCGTGCGAGTAAACTTAGCTGTTCTGATGAGAAATGAGGAGATGGGGTTAGTTTGAACATGGCGGAATATGTTTTTTCTTTGCAGTCTGACCCTTAGTGTCTTAAACAATAAAGGAGTCTGTCAGCCCGTTAATCTCTGTTAGCTCTGTTTAATCTCGAATGGCAGTATTTGTTCTCGTGAAGTTGGATTTGATAGAATTGCGCCATTTGGTCTCCCCAATTCACGCCAAATGAGCCCTTAGAAGTCCGGTTCGTGTCGTGATCGATTCAAATGCTTTGATGCCTTTACTATGCTGGATTGCTGGTTATACCGTTCTTGATGTTTTCAACTACCTAAATTCAAGGCGATTAAGGCCATGCATTATGCATAGAATATGTGTATCCTTTCATGGCTTTGGCTTCAGCATCCTCATCTGTTTACACCTCTGTGATTGAAGCATAATCTGTAACTCCCATCTTACAAATTGCATTCAACAACATAACCTTTTGATCTATACTTCAATGCTGTTTGGATGTATGTTGCAGCAATAAACTGATAGCGGTTTTATGTCACTGTGAATATCATGCTGTTTGGATGTGTATTGAACAGTCTATTCACATAAACTTCATCCGAAGCTCACGATACCAGACAATAATACGCTTTAGTTATTCTTATATAGCAAGAGTCGTCTGAATGTCCTGTTAGTCTCTTGGTACTATTACTATTGCGATTTATGGGATTCATTTGGACAAATCTACATCTTGAACTGTGTTTGCCCTTTACTATGTGTTTGGCTGATTGGTTATTCGTTTCCTCTCCATTTTTTAATGCAGATATACTTCGACTTCCGAGCTCTTGCCCCTTCTGGCAGCTGGTTCAACACCCTTGCTAAAGGTGAAAAGGATAGCTCAGTTGATCAATACCAGCAATAACACCATTGTGAACTCAACCACTTTGTCGAGCCCTTTTGCTGATTTTTCATTCAGCGCAACTGCAAACTTCGAAGTCCGAAGCCCTTCAAGAATACAGGTAAAGTAACACTTTGTTCCTTTGAATCCTTGTGGACGATAATGAAGGGGTGTGTGCATTGGTCAGTTGGGTTAATTACGTCTGGTTTCAAGTGGGTTAAGCTGGGTAGCACGAATAGGTCAGGTCTCGGTTAGTTTTGTTCGCCCACCTGTCACTTGCTCATGGTATGATCATCAATTGAGAAGATAATACAAGAGCAGTTGAATCTCTTGGACTGATTGTACTGTTATATTTTGCTGCAATGTCTTTCAAACATGATCCATTCATTTCCACTATCCTTCACAGGTTGAATTCAAGGAAGGAACTCTGCAGCCTCCGGATGTAAAGACCAGCATTGATCTCCCAGACGAAATCGATCTATTTGGGCAGAAGATCAGCTTGTCCCCGGCTCTTCAGTCTCTGGGTCCTCTGCAGGACTCCGTGGCTACCATCTCGAGGGCCATTTCCGGCCAGTCCCCACTCAAGGTCCATATTCCAGGCAGCCGAACCAGGTCCTGGCTCCTGACCACCTACCTCGACGAGGATCTCCGGATTTCAAGAGGCGACGGCGGTCTTTTCATACTTGCCAAGGAAGGAAGCCCACTTTTGAGTCTGTAACCAGCCAGATAAGTATATACTCACTCAATTATGTACCTGATGAAGTAGATATACGCGGCTAGTCGTTGTTGTTGTTGTTGTTTTCTCCTCGGTTTATCTCCATTGTAGTAACTTTGACAGTGAGGATTTAAGAACATGACGCCGGTTTGTCAAGTCAGACTTCGGTTTGTATAGTGAAATCTTGGTTCGGTGTTCGATTCAAGGGAAATTCTAGCCGGCAAATAAAGCCGAGTCGTCGTGGCGCCCATCACGGCGAACATCACATTCATTCGGTTAGAAAAGGGGAAAATAAATACATTGACTCCTTCCTTCTCAACTCTTTGATCATTTCTTCCTCCAGCCAGCCTGTTCTCCCAAAATTTCCCCTCTCCCTTGAACTCGTCGTTGCCGGCGGCCGAACCGAAATGATGACGACCCACCGGCCGAAGATGGACGAGGCCCAGATCGCCGACCTCCGGGGGATATTCCGGTCCTTCGACCGCAACAAGGACGGCAGCCTGACGCAGATCGAGCTCGCCTCCTTGATCCGATCGATCGGCCTGAATCCGAGCTCCGACGAGCTCAGGGCGCTGATCCAGAGGGCCGATACGAACAGCAACGGCCTGGTCGAGTTCACGGAGTTCCTGGCGATGGTGGCGCCGACGGAGGAGGAGGAGGAGGAGCCGGCGTACGGCGAGGAGCAGCTGAGGCAGCTGTTCAGGATGTTCGATCGGGACGGGAACGGGTACATAACTGCGGCGGAGCTGGCGCACTCGATGGCGAGGCTGGGCCACAAGCTGACGGCGGAGGAGGTCGCCGGGATGATCCGGGAGGCGGATACCGACGGCGACGGGCGGATCAGCTTCCCGGAATTTTCATGCGCAATTTCTTCCGCTGCGTTCCTGAACTCCTGGGCTTAGATTGAAGCTAAGAGGTCGAGTGAAACGGTGCAGTGTTTTGTCAGTTATTACACGATGATTGTCCATGTTGAAGCTTAGATAGATTTTTCTCGTGGGTTTGTTTTCAAGTTTGTGGAAGACACGATTACTTGTTATAAGAACTCTCAAAATTTGCTCAATCTCAAATTGCTTGCTTAGCCATAGGATGGTTTATGGATAGACTAGCTTAGGGGTGTTCAAACGGATTAGTTACCATGGTAATCATATTAACTGGTAGTATTCGGTTAATTTGGATAATTGGTTTGGTTTGGTTAATTTTTTTTGCTTATTTGGTTTAGGTGGTTTGGTTTGGTTTCAACACTGCTAACCAATTAACCAATTAATGATACACCTAATATACAAAATTATTTATACTTCCATGCAACCAACCAAACCAAACCAAACCTTTGTGATTCCCTATTTTATTTCCATGTGCACAACAAACCAAAACATTATGCATCAAAAATTAAATGGGTCTGCCTATTTACTAAACCAAAACATTTTGGACTGCTACTAGAATTTAGGATTACGTACAATACCATGACAGCCACCCCAAACTATGTATAGTTTAAGTGTTTTATAGGAGAGCTTTAACTGCCTGATGAGTGGTATGGGTATGCATTTAATATTTATGTTAAGGGTTTGTTGTAAGCTAACTATATTAGGTGCAGAGATGATGAATGATGTATTAACTCGAATGATGATGATAATCATGGTTATGTTATTTGGTTAATCCGATTATCCGATTAACCAAACCAATTAAACTTTGGTTTGGTTAATTTGGTTTTCGTATTAATTTGGACGGTTTGGTTAAGACATTTAATTCCACGGTTAATGAAATATAGGCTTAATTGGTTTGGTTATTACCACGGTAACCATTTGAACACCCCTAGACTAGCTAACCCCTCTAAAAAGGTTGAAAAAATGACACTATCTATTAATTATAATTAATTTTTTGTGTTGTATTTAATAATCTTTTTAAACAAAAAAACTCATATTAATTACATTCATTTTTTTAACTATCATTGCACTAATACAAGTACCATTACAATGAAAAAAATTTAATTAATACAGGTTTTAATTTTCAGAGATTAATAAATGCAACACAAATTTATTACTTTATAATTAATAGGAGTGTCATTTTTCCAACCTATTTAGGGGTAGTCATGCTATCTCACCCCACGATACTACATATTAAAAATATGCTAATTTCCTTTTGTATATATACTATGTAAATATCTTTTTGATACGAATATTTAGAACAACAGTTGTAACATGAGATGTGTCGTGTATCTACGAGTTGTATATTCAAAATCAGCATTCAATCGAAGAGAGGCAGGTTCCTTGGAAAAAAAAATCATCACCCAATCTTAAACATTAATTTTAGCAACAAACACGAATTGATTCGACGGGTCCATCAAGTTACAGTCTCATTATTATTTACCAAGACTCTGGAGTCCCTTCTTGCCCCAACAAACAATTTCCCTCGCTTTTCCCTTGTTGCACCAGCTAATCGGGAGCGGATACATAACAACACAAGTGGTGTTGTTATAGTAACAGCAGGGTAAAAGGGTCAATTAACAAAATATAATAAAAATTGAAATTTGGACGGATGAAAACCCTGCTTCGCCACTCTCCTCTTTCCCCAATCTCCGACTCCGCCCATCCTCCAACCACCGTCCTCGTAGCCGCCGTCGTCGTAGCAATTCTCCCTCGTCGCTGCCCGCCCGGGCCAGGGGATGACCACGCTCATGGAGACGGCGTCGCCCATGGAGAATCTGGCGGCGGGCGAGCTGTCTTTGGTTTCCCCGGGGTAGGCGTCGTAGAAGCCGTGCTAGATCAGGATCGCCTTCCCCGGTAGAATCTTTCGGTGCCAGATTCGGATCGTTCCCTATGTGTTCATCTAATTCGTCTCCTCGCGCCGCCGGGCACGGCTTTCCTCCGTCGTCATCATCACCATTAACGTCCGTTTATGCCACCAGAGACCATAATTTTCACCGGTTTGTCCTCCTTGCCTTTGACCCTTGTCCAATTCATTATTTGATCTGAACAAAAATGGAATTCTCCCACACTGCAAGTATTGATACCGATTCTTAGCTGATCTCCATTCTATCAATTCCGAGTACAAATGCCCCTCTGCTTTTTAAGCTTTCGTTGTTGATGATCCATCAGGGAATATGAAGTTGTGTTTCCCCTGCTTGTATATTTCTATGCTTAGGTAAACAAGTTCTCCTGCTGCAGAAGTGGGAATATGAAGTTGAGCCACCTCATGCACTCATCACTGCGACTGCTGCAGGAAACCGGCTTTACTTGTTCAACGTCGCTGCAAATGGTAAACAAGTTCTCCTGTTGACCGAGGGGACTTGTGAAGATGCAGATAATCAGAGAGATGATTGGCCGATCTATTTATTTGTTTTGCAGGTCTTCAGTGGAAGAGACATTACCCGGAGTTGAAGAAGATAGCTGACTCGTTTCGTGTTGTTTAGTCAGTAGCTTGTTAGATCTTTGTACAATCAGAAGAAGAGTTCGAAAGGGTATTTCGAATCTCTTGGTGTTCTCGTCGTGGAAACAATCGAGAGGCCAGAATGTACGGTGCTTAGTAAAGAGTATGCAAGTTGACATACTATCTGATACTACATGCTAGCAATCCTCTTCATGGTAACTTTGTAGCAAGATAAGGTTTTCCAAGCATGAATGGACCGTGTATTTTACTATTTTTTTCTGTTGCGATACTACGAATGTACTGTGTATATATACTAGATGGATCATAGATTCACTCATTGTTCATTTATGTATCTCAATTACTAAATGAATCCATTTACAAACACATCCAATAACCAAGTGCATAATTGAGTGCAGCTAGAACTTTCTTTCTTTGACCTAAGTCCTTTCTATCACTTGCAGTCTTTGGTTGGCTAACAGAAGTGTTGAATCACCCTTTTTTCGAAAGCATACCACAATTATTTCGAAAACATACCAAAAACCTTCTAATGCAGACCATAAATTGTCTAAAACATACCAGAAACACGGTATAACAAACAAAAAATATTTCTAAAGCACACCAGGAACCCCCTAATACAAACGACAAACACGGTAAAGCAAACCAGAAACGTCCTAATACAGTCCAAAAATCTATTAAAACAAACCAGAAACCTCACAAACCACAAAATTTTCAAAAACACACCAGAAACCTCATAATGCAAACCAGAAACCTCCTAATGCATACCACAAATTTCCTAAAACAAACCACAAACCTCACAAAACAAACCACAACATTTGCGAAGCACACCAGAAACCTCCTAATGCAAACCACAAACACAGTAAATCAAACCACAAAAAAACAAACCATAAACGTCCTAATGCAGACCACAAATATATTAAAACAAACCAGAAACCCCTCAATGCAAACCACAAAGTTTTTGAAAGCAAACCAGAAGCTTCTCAATGCAAACCACAAACACGATAAAGCAAACCAGAAACTTCTTAATGCAAACCACAAACACGATAAAGCAAACCACAAAAGGCATACAAAAATATGAGAAACCAAACCATAAATCTCACAGTGCAGATCATAACATTCGGTGGTCGTTGGTCGTTGGTCGTTGACCGGTCAACAAAGACCTTTGACCGGTCAACGAAAACCGTTGACCAAAATTCGATGACCGTCAGTGAGTAGATTCCGACGCCGATAGGCATATTCCGGCTCCGATGACTAGATTCCGACGCTGGTAAGCATATTCCGACCACAGTGAGCATATTCCGGCGACGGTGGCATATTCCGACGACAAAAAAGCATATTCCGGTGACTAGATTTCGGCGACCGGTGGCCGAATTCCGACGACCAAAATTTTGGGCCGAAAATAAAAAAAAAATATTTTTATTTTTATTTTAATTTTTTTTATTACTTAAACATATTTTCATAATGACAATTATACCCCTGCTTTGATTTTACACTAGGTCAACTCATCTAATAAAAAGTTATCACAACCCTAACTTCCTATTGGTTGGAGACTAGTGTTATTACAATAACAACACAAGGGATGTTGTCATAGTATCTAGTCCCTTCGCAAATCATCTTCCCCGAACGAGTATACAAAGAACCACCTTTGAAAAGTACTTAGAGCCCATCTGATCTATGAATTTTTGTTTGTGGAAAATCTTTACAACTCTTTTAAACAAATTAATTTCTTTTGGTTGTGAATAATAAATTCATAATACATTTCTAAGGGGTCCGATTGGACGAATGTATATGATAACAAACAACAACGATATATATTTTTTTTATAAGAGTGAAATCGATTTAGTTTTATTGTTAGGCGCTACTTAAAAAATTTGAACCTATTACCTCATAGTTAAAAACCAACGTTAGAACCCGCCAATAGAATACACGTTCCAGAGCGACGTGTAAGGAAGTAACCAAAAAAATTCTCCTAGCAGCTCTACATCAGTGACAAAAGAAATTAGGTAAGCTGAATCATGCCTTCTTGTTCTTCTTCCTGGATTTAAGCATCACAGAGCCAACGAACAGAGACAGTAAGGAGAGAAGGGCTACACCAGCGAATACCGGTATGATAATGGCATACTCCAGAGGCAGGAAATATTGGTGAACAAAGTGATCGCTGTCTACAAATGGCTGGAAAAAGAACAAGATATCAGCTGGTAAAAAAGTAGAAACCAGTATTATCAAAAGATCTGATATAGTGCAAGTGATTAGAACATATGATCTTTTACCACGATGATAACCCAGAAGGTAAAATATGTGAAGATAGATAAGCTGATGAGAGTCAACAGAAGCCCAACTGCTCTATCTGCTAATTCCATCTCCCTGACTGTGAATACAATGGTAAATCGCCCGGTGATTAGGAGAGGAACAGGATGGAATATTTTGCTATCTAGGTGCAACTTCTTTCAACCAACTAAGCAAAATGAGCAAATAGTCCAACAATCGACACAACTTAAAATGATGCTATGAAACAATCATTCAGGGTGAACAAATAGCAGCCCTAGGCTCAAGCTCTTAATGACTCTACTTTTGGACAAACCCTAATTAGGATTTAGGATCACACAAGATGGCAACACTCAAAACCTAACACAGCAAATCATGAACTGCACAGTAATCCTTCCCAGCATGAAAACAACACTACCTCTACATAGCAATTTAATGAGAATGCAGCCAGCCTAACTGGACCTTGTAGAGCAATTGCTACATATCTTGGTTTTCAGCTCAATCGAGGAAAACGCACAACAAAACAAGTTTCTCCCGTTTGGCATTTGTATGAACTTTTAACTCCAACACGACAAAGATTCCTACCGTCGGCAAGTATCACCTGATCCCCCCACACCAAACTATTAGCATCTTCGCTACAAACAGGATGCACTACCATCAGCATTTCCTTTTGTTTCTGGAACATGCCAACATCTCATTTCGATGAACAAACACGAAATCGACAAGCCAGGAAAAAGAAGCCATGTTGGCTACTAGAAAATCTACCATGATTCCCGCAACAGAAACAAATATCACCTACCCAAACAAACCCAGACACTAGGCTTATATGCCACTGGTACCAACGACCAAAGCCATTGTTCGCATGGCACAACTAAAAGCTTGAGTTGGAATCCCATGTAGCCAAGTAACCTAAGAAAATGGTTTGTTACTGCTAATCAAACCCCCTTTTATCTAGTGAGGCAAAATCCTAACGGTAGCCATCAACTGAACAAGTTCCCCTTACAAAGAATGTACGCAAAACAACACTACCTACGGATGTTAAGGCCTTGATTCTGCAATACCAAACTCTGACCATTCTCCAGTCTACAAGAACTACTCGATTGAAGCAACCCGGCTAAAATGGAAGGATATTCGCTCTAAAACTTCAAGCATATATCACAAAAACTGAAACTCGAATGACTCTAAACATCATCTTCTTTCATTTCACAAAATGAAAACAATCCAGTGATCACAAGTCCTCAAGTCAATATTGGCTCGAGAATTAACGAGATCTCAATTAGGACAATCAAAAGCCACAAAAAAAAAAAAATTAGCGCGAAGCTTTCAGTTTCATTACCCGTCAACAGATTCGCTCGAAGTCGCTACCTCAAAGTGCGATTCAGACGACCTTCAAGGTTTTGCCGAGCGATCGAATTGCAACAGAGCCGCTTCCGACGGCTTAGACTGTTTGTGCGATCTGAAGAGAAAGAACAAGAACTAAGAAGAAGGCTTGTAATGTCAAATTTTTAGTACCTCTACCATTTCAATTCAATGAGTAAGTCCTTGATTTGTAAAACTTTGACAAACAAGTCCCTTCGTTCAAAAAAAGGCGCAAACTTTGACGTAATAAACATGAAGCAGGAGGAGTAGAAGATGAAACAAACTGCCATTTCTCTATGAGAAGTGCCGTCAAGTCTCTGCTAGTTCCAAACCCAGCTGCGAATTTCGAAGCTTTCGTGTCCAAATGCTTGTCTCTCTTCAAAACCACCACCATCGCTCGAGGAACCGTCCTCCATGGCCATTTGATCAAAACCGGTACTTCCTCCGAGAGGTACATCTCCGTGAAGCTCCTGATAATGTATCTAACTGGCCGGAAACCCGCGGAAGCTCATCAGGTTGCGAAGGAATTCGATCGGTTTGATCTCGTCGTGCACAACTGTTTCATAAATGCTAGCCTACAGTCGGGGGAACTTGACAAAGCTCGCAAGGTGTTCGACGAAATGCCCGAGAGAAACGAGGTGTCGTGGACTTCGTTGATTTCGGGGTTCATGAAGTCGGGGAGAGTTGACGAGTCATTGTGGTATTTTAGGAGGAACCCGTTTCAGAATGTGGTTTCTTGGACGGCTGTGATTAGCGGGTTCGTCCAGAATGGTTTGATGTTAGAGGCTTTGAGCATGTTCTTGGAGCTCTGTGAATCAGAGATCAGGCCGAATGAAGTCACGTTTACATCGGTTCTCAAGGCGTGCTCAGAAACTGGTGAGTTCAGGTTAGGGATGAGTTTGTTGGGTTTGATTATCAAGACTGGAAATGAACATAAGTTGTCAGTTTCCAATTCTTTGATCACATTGTTCTTGAGAATGGGCGAAACAGATTCTAGCAGGAGAGTGTTTGATAGCATGGCGGAAAGAGATGTAGTTTCTTGGACAGGCATATTAGATATGTACGTCGAGAATGGGGATTTGGTCGAAGCGAGAAGAATCTTTGACGAGATGCCTCAGAGAAATGAAGTTTCATGGAGCGCAATGATTTCTAGGTATAGCCAGAGTGGCCATCCCGAAGAAGCATTGAGCCTCTTCCACAAAATGGTACGAGAGGGAAAACTCGTTAATGTATCATGCCTCTCTAGTGTTATAAACGCATTGACCGCTGTCAAGGCTCTGCAATCCGGGATGAACATCCATGGACATACGGTGAAAATCGGGATGGAGAGAGATGTGTACATCTCCAGCTCTCTTATTGATCTCTACTGTAAATGTGGGCAGACTAACGAGGGACGCCTGTTATTCGATTCCGTTGCAGAGAAGAATGTTGTCACCTGGAACTCCATGATTGGCGGGTATGGGTTCAATGGACAAATGGAAGAAGCCAACTCGTTGTTTGAAGCAATGCCTTCACCTAACAGCGTCTCGTGGAGTGCTCTGATCACCGGTTACTTGGATAACAAGCAATTTGACAAGGTGTTAGACCTATTCAATCAGATGCTTTTGTTTGGAGAACGGCCAAATAAATCCACATTCTCTTCTCTGCTATGTGCTTGTGCAACCACAGCTTCTTTGGAAAAAGGGAAGAACATCCATGGCAAAGCAATCAAGCTTGGGATTCAGTCGGACGTGTTTGTAGGCACTGCTCTCACTGACATGTACGCGAAATCGGGCGATGTGGAGGGTGCCTGTAGGGTGTTCAACAGAATGCCGCAGAGAAATGAGTTCACTTGGACTGTGATGATCCAGGGGCTTGCCGAGAGTGGATTCGCGATGGAAGCCCTCAAGCTGTTTGACGAGATGGACAGTAGAACTCCACCTAACGACCTCATGCTCTCCTCGGTCTTCTTCGCCTGCTCTCACTCTGGCTTAGTCAACAGAGGACTCCAGTACTTCAGAACCTTTGAGACAAAAATGAACGGTTCGCACTACACATGTCTAGTCGACATGCTATCAAGAGCAGGGAGACTGGAAGAAGCTGAGGAGCTCATTGAATCAATGCCAGTTGAACCGGAGCCCAATGCATTGGCAGCTCTACTGAGCGGCTGTCAAAGGCATAAGAACGAGGAGCTGGCAGAGAGAACGGCAAAGAAGTTATGGCCAGCAGCAGAGAGAGACTCTGGAGGGTATGTAATTTTGTCGAACTTGTATGCTTCAGCTGGGAGGTGGAAGGACGTTTTGGAAGTTAGGAAGCTGATGAAGGAAAAGGGATTGAAGAAGAATGGAGGTTGCAGTTGGATTGAGCTGAAGAATCAAGTTCATTCATTCCACTCTGGAGATGGAGCTCATTCTCAGTCCATCAAAATTTATGGTGTTTTGAAACTATTAATGTATGAAATGGTTCCTGTGTAAGATTTCTTCATACACTTATTATTCATCAAGTGCAAAGGAAATGTTGCAGAAAAAATTATATTCTAACTATTGGAAGATGCAGTTGGATGGTTCATTGTAAACTCGAATCGTTGATATAGTAAAATTGTAAGGTATTAAGATCTAAATTGAAATTTCAGCAACATTGTTACAGAGTGCTAAAGAACAGTCACAAAAGCTTTTGATGTTCAAACTATGGATGTGCTACATACCAGTGGATCTATAAAGATCAACACTTGGACACCAGTTTGTACAGTGAAAACACAAAAACTGGATATTGCATAGTCTGATTTCGCTGCCCCAAGTACCAAAAGGCAACAAAAATCCATTATTCTTCACACTGATGAGTGATGGAAGCTATTACCTAAGCCAGTCGAACCATCATCAGAAATCTTGCAATGATCACTTGCATTTCCATATTTCAGTTCTGCAGTAGATACTGCATTACATCCTTCCTCAGCAATCCACCGAAACCACTTGTGCCGATCACAGGGCTTCGTCCGAACATCTCAGGACCTGTCCAGCTATTGAGGTGCCTGTACTGTGTCGTAGTTCCAGCAGGTCTTGGCGGCCTGATCATCATTGCGATAGTAGGGAACGGCTTAGACCATGTGGCTCTATAGGAAGAGAAGAGATGCCTGTTGGATGATTCGCCATTTCTGGATGACTGGACACTGCCCGAAGAATTCTTTAGGTTATTGGCGCTGCTGCTTGACTGAGTTATCTTTCGTATATTTGATGACGTGACTTGATCGTGAGGGCGGATCCCAGCAGAAGGCTTCATCCTATCGAGCCATCGGAGAATCCAGTTGCCGACGTTCCTGCCTACTTCCAAGTCTCTCTGTTGTATATTCTGGTGGACTGAAAGAGCAGCACTGAACACTGCACGTGTCCGCCTGTGAGAAACAAAGAATTGAAAGGAATGGTCAGATGGTGAATGCTCTGACTAGAACCAATCAATTATAGTAGTATAATGAAAATTAAACGTATCCAGCCAAATGACCCCAGCTTAAGAAAAAGGACAGAACAAATTATGCCATAAAAGAACCCCGCCCTCTTCATCAACCACAGGAACTCCACAAGGATTCCCACTGCAAATATAGCTACAAGCACGTTACTACGAGCACTACTTAACCAAATAAGTTCGGGTCATCAAATCACGAAATCCACTGCTCATCAGTATTGGATAAAATCTAATCTTGTCGCCCCAATTCAATAATGCCAAAAATATTGCTAGTAGTACCCAATAGTTAAGTCAAAGTCATTGTTAACTAAGCACAATGCATATACCTATTACAACATATAGTAAGCGATTACAAAGCAGTATTCATCTCATTGTGCAAGCTGAGATCTTACACTGCCAACCCTACAGAACATAGAGCTTCAAACAAGGGAGATGTTATGCTATTCGGAGTTCATATTTCCTCATTACAATGGTGTAAACACCTCAACCGCAAAGTGAAGAAGACTATGATAGTCGAAAGGCGCTACTTCTCTTTTCCGATTAACCATTGGTTTCTGGTCCCTTTGAATAATGTCCTGCAACTCTTTTCGCCGCCTAGTTTCCGCAACTGCATTCCCTATTCTCTAGTTCTTCCCCCTTCTTCATCCAATCAATCGTTTGCCAAGCAAAAAGTTCTCTATCAGGCCAATTCACAACCTAATCTATTTATCAACTTAGTCGCGATTCAAGCATCCATTACGACTTCTCAACGATTTATCACAAGATTGCGGAAAAGAATCGAACTAATTGATCGACCGAACATCGAAGAAACAACAGACTCAATCGATGCAATGCGAGATACTGAATGCGAATAAAGTGAGTGAGAGATTTGAGAAGCCGCTCAGACGCACCTGTGGAGAAACTCGCGGATCTTAGGATGCTTAGGGCTGACGGCCTTGCGTTGTAGCTTGAGAGCGAGCCTGTAGGTCCGTTTCAGTCCCAAGAAGTAAGCCGTCGCTAGCGTGATCTCCCACAGCACCATTTTTTCCTTCCTTCCTTCCTTCGTTTTGCTCTGCTCTTTCTTCTCCTTTTTCCCGAGCGCTTTCCGACTCGCCAAACGGTCTCCCCGTGAAACGAACGAAGCTCGAACGAGGCAAGAAAAGGGAATGAATATGTGGGAAGAGTGACTGTCTGAGCGGTGGTGGAAGAGGCGATTCGTTTCGTTTGCCGCAAGTTCTGTGTATTTCTTTCTTCCACTCTCTCGATGCGAGAAATGTCGAAAGTGGTGACGTTGCGGCGAATTTGTTTCCTCTCTCTCTCTCTCCCACGGATTTGCTGAGGCGGGCCGGTTCGGCCCAGAATACACTCAAATGGAACTGAACCGGATTCAATTTGGATATAAAATATACAATTGAGTGGAAAACCAAAAGTACCACTGTTTAAAAAAAAAATTTCAAAAATACCACCCAACCCCAAAAAATTCCAAAAATACCATCCTTTTTCAAAAACCGTCACCCCACCCAGCGGTTTGGTCGAAAACCGCTTGTCGGGGGCGCGGTTTTGGACCAAACCGCGGGCCTAGGGGGCGGTTATAAAAAAAAAAATTGGACCAAAACCGCTGGGTGGGGTGGCGGTTTGGCCCAAAACCGCCACCCCAACCAGCGGTTTGGTCCAAAAGTTCGGTCGAAACTTCAAACGAACGTAACTTTTCACTCGGGTATCCGATCGTAGCGATTGTTTTTTTCATTTTGCATAACTTTTCAAGATCTACAACTTTTAATAGGATGAAATTTTCAAAAAAGGAACTATTTGTGGATATACGGGACCTTGAGAATAACTTTACCTTTACTTTTCAGAAATCCATGTACATTTTGAAATTATGATTATATTAAAAGTTGTAGATCTTGAAAAGTTATGCGGAATCAAAAAAAATTTCATAACATTCGGAGTTTGGAGCACAAAGTTATGGACGCCCAAAGTTTGACGAAAGGCGAGACCCGGCGGTTTGCGGATTGCAAGATCTCAAAAAGTTTGCGGCCTCCATTTTTTGAATCCGAATAACTTTTTGAGATCTTGCAAGTCTCAAATAGTCGGGTTCCGTCTTCGTCTCGAAAAAACGTCATTTGCCACCCCGAACGACCTTTTTTTTTATTTCGTCAAACTTTGGGCGGCCATAACTTTGTGCTCCAAAATCCGAATGTCATGAATTTTTTTTTATTCCGCATAACTTTTCAAGATCTACAACTTTTAATATAATCATAATTTCAAAATGTACATGGATTTCTGAAAAGTAAAGGTAAAGTTATTCTCAATGTCCCGTATATCCACAAATAATTCCTGTTTTGAAAATTTCATCCTAGTAAAAGTTGTAGATCTTGAAAAGTTATGCGAAATGAAAAAAAAAATCGCTACGATCGGATACCCGAGTGCAAAGTTACGTTCGTTTGAATTTCGACCGAACTTTTGGACCAAACCGCTGGTTGGGGTGGCGGTTTTGGGCCAAACCGCCACCCCACCCAGCGGTTTTAGTCCAATTTTTTTTTTTTATAACCGCCCCCTAGGCCCGCGGTTTGGTCCAAAACCGCGCCCCCGACAAGCGGTTTTCGACCAAACCGCTGGGTGGGGTGGGGGTTTTTGAAAAAGGGTGATATTTTTGGGATTTTTTGGGATTGGGTGGTATTTTTGGAAATTTTTTTTTAAACAGTGGTACTTTTGGATTTTTTCCCAATTGAGTTGGGTGATACATGGTGCGGAGCAAGAATTCGAAAGTACCGGTGTTCATTTTTTATAATAAAAATATTTAATTATTTAATTATTTAACAAAGATAATTTAAATTAATAATATTCAAATAATTCACAATCATTGTTTTCATAAACAATCGATCATGAGTCATGAAGCGTTCTCATTCTCTCAATGTATCCAACCAAACAATCATTAGCAAATTGGTCGCAATTCGACTTTGAAACTTGTTCTTAATATAGCTCAAAGTTGAAAAATGCTCTTTTTATACTTGCAGTTGCAACTGGTAGAGTCAAAACTAACTTCAGAAGACAGAGAGATCGATTCTTAGGCCCTGTTCACTTTCATTTTCGTTTTCTGTTTTCTGTTTTCATGTGATAAATTTGGCAACTGAAATGAGAAAACTTGTTTACTTTTCATTCTGTTTTCTATTCGTTTCCAACTATGAAAGCAGAAAGTGTCAACTTTCTGCTGTTTTCGAAAACGACAAAATGTTGTTTTCACCTGTTTTCAACATCTGTTTTCTCAAAAACAGGAAACAGAAATGAAAGTAAACAGGCCCTTAGGTATTGTGAATTTTGTTTTTAGTGTGATAAGTTGACCAACAGAAGAAAGCATATGGAGAGTGGATGACGGTGAAACCGAAGAACAAACAATCCGGGGTAAAGAGGATGCATGGCAGGGACCAACCGCTCTCAAACTTGCATGGGAACAGTGACATGCATCATACGGGTTCCAGGTTTGCAACCCTGGAAGTCGAAGACTCGACACCAATGGAGGAGGAGGAGGAGGAAACTGCTGGGGTACAGCCTCATGCCACTCCCCTTGCTCCGGCTACAACACCTGAGCAGCAATCCCGACCGGAGAACACCATGTCAACCTGCACCCCACCAAGACTTTCGAGTGGCCAAACAGTTGTGGCCAGAGTTTCGTTCGTGACAGAGCCGGCTCCTCTTGGGACGGTGGCTCATCGGAAGCAAGGAGGCCCAATCACGGGTCTGGTGGAAGTCCCCGTTCAGCAAGTGGTTCAGGTCGAAAGCAAAGGAGTGGAAGTCCACAATTTCAACTCGTTGGCGGGAAAAGGATCATTGAAGAAAGGGAGGAATAACAAAACCCTCACTCAGCTTAAGGGCCCTTCCAACGAACGAGGAACTCCCTCCCTTCAGGGACGCAATTCCGAGAGTAAACCCCGAAGTACTACTACTAGTACCTCTGAGAAGATGAAGGTGGGAGGGAAGCCTCCTACGAGTCTGGCGGCGGCGTAACCGGGCGTGGCCCGTCCCCAGGGGAGTTCCCTCCTCTTGTTAGTTGTGTTTTCCCAATTTTATTTGTGTTATTATGTTAAACATTTTCTCATGGAACTGCCAAGGGGCAGGAAGTGACCAGTTTCTTGTTTATCTGCGTAATTTTTGTGCCTCTTCAAGGCCGGATTTGGTGATAATTGTAGAACCACGTATTAGTGGGGATACAGCTAGGGAAGTAATCCGCAAAACGGGTTACGATGGGAAACTAATTGTGGACGCGGTTGGTTTTTCAGGTGGCATATGGGTGCTGTGGCATCGCCATATTGTTCAGGTGACGGAGATAACCCAATGGGAGCAGATGATCCACTTCACCTGTACCAGACATGGCATGAGAGGTGAGGTGGCGGTGTCGGCAGTTTACGGCAGCCCTAACACGGCTCTTCGACAAAATTTGTGGGAGGAGATTGGTCGCCTCGCCAGTGGGATGTCTTTACCTTGGGTTCTTATTGGAGACTTTAACTCCATTCTGGGGCCGACAGATAGGTGTGGAGGAGTTCCCTATCAGGAAGCTCGGACAAGACCCTTCAGGAGATGTGTTGACACTAATGGCTTGTTCGATATTAACTTCACAGGCCCACGATTCACCTGGCATCGAGGCAATCTCAGGCAACGCCTCGACAGAGCTCTCTGTAATAAGGCATGGATGACAAGGTTTCCTCGGACGGCAACGAGACATCTCGAAATGGTGGGCTCGGACCATAGGCCGATTCTTTTAATGGGAGATATGCGAGCTGCCAACTCGGGGCCCAAACCATTTCGCTTTCTTGCAGCATGGTTGACTCATGAGGATTTCGGTCGCGTTCTTGAAGATCACTGGCCTCGAGGAGAGAACTTCCGCCCAGTCGACTAGCGTGCTAACCGACGAGCTACAAAGCTGGAACAAGTTGACTTTTGGTCACATCCTCCGACGAAAACGTCTTCTTGTACGGAAGCTAAGGAAGTTGGAAGAAGAGAACGAGCGTGAAGGCACCCCCCAATTACAGGAAATGGAGAGGGAAGTTCGCCAGGAACTTGAATCCACCCTATGGCAAGAATATCTCCTTTGGTTTCAAAAATCAAGGGCGCAATGGGTAGCTGAGGGCGATAAGAACACCCGTTATTACCACCTATCGACGCTGAAGAGGAGGAGCTTCAATCGGATTCGTGGCCTAAAGGATGACCAGGGGAAGTGGGTTTTTGATGAAGCGGACCTGTGTAGGATGGCCAGGGAATTCTATGCCGCCCTCTTCCTGGCCGAGTTTGGCCCAGCTCCCGAGCTCCCAGCGACGTTCACAGCAATCGCAGCGGACACAGGGGATTATCTCCAGCCCGGAATCACACGGGAGGAAGTCTGGACAGCAATTAAAAGTATGGGGGGGTTCAAGGCGCCCGGGAAAGATGGGTATCCGCCGGTCTTTTATCAAAAGTGCTGGAGGGTGGTAGCTGATCATGTTTCCAAATTCGTTGCAGACAAGTTTTCTGACCCTAGTATGATTGCGGGTGTCAATGAAATGTTGTTGGTGCTTATTCCCAAGAAAGAGAGCCCAGAGAGTATTCAGCAATTCCGGCCTATAGGACTGTGCAATGTGATCTACAAGACTCTGACAAAGTGTTTGGTGCACAGGATTAAACCGTGGATGCGGTACCTGGTTCACCCCACCCAGACAAGTTTTGTCCCTGGGAGGCAGATATCCAGTAACATTGTCATATTGCAGGAGGTGGTGCATTCCATGAACCTTAAGAAGGGCAGGCGGGGTGCAATGGTCCTGAAAATAGACCTAGCAAAGGCTTACGACAGAGTGAGCTGGCGTTTCATCCAGGAGAGCATTACCTTGGCGGGATTCCCGACCAAGTTGTGCGAGGTCATCATGGGGTGCATCTCGTCGCCTTCCATGCAAGTCTTATGGAATGGGAAATGCACTGAACCTTTCACTCCGTCCCATGGGCTCCGCCAGGGGTGCCCGCTCTCGCCATACCTGTTTACGTTATGCATGGAAAGGCTGAGTCACACGATTCAGGCTGAAGTGGATTCAGGCAGATGGAGACCTTTCAGGGTCGCACCAGGTGCTCCCCCTCTCTCACACCTGTTTTTTGCAGATGACTTGATTCTGTTTGCAGAGGCATCGGAGGCGCAAGGGGAAGTGGTCTTAGACTGCCTGGAGCGCTTCTGTCAGGCCTCTGGGCAGCAAGTGAGCAAGGAGAAGTCGATCATGTTCTTCTCCAAAAACACAACCCGCGCCACTAGTGCTGCGATCTCGAGGCGAGTGGGGATTCCGCAAACGCAGGACTTGGGACGTTACCTGGGAGTGCTGGTGTTGCATGGTAGAGTCACTAAAGAGACCTACAGGTATATTCTAGCTCGAATGGATAATAAACTTGCAGGCTGGAAGGCCAAGAATTTATCCTTTGCAGGTAGAGTGACCCTGGCGGCGTCGGTACTTAACACGCTGCCGACTTATGCCATGCAATCCACCATGTTGCCTGTCTCCATCTGCGATGCGATTGATAAGAGGATTCGGAGTTTCATCTGGGGATCTGTGGGCGAGAAAAGAAAGATGCATTTGGTGCACTGGGAGGCAATTTGTCGGCCGAAGAAGGAGGGTGGTTTGGGGCTAAGGAAAGCTTGTGAGCTTAACCTGGCTTTCTTGGCTAAACTTGCATGGATGTTTATGAAAAACCCCGAAGAGCTGTGGGTGTAGGTACTTCAAGCGAAATACTTTAGACTGGTGGATGGTCAGCTGGTGGCAAAGAATGGGTCTCGGGCATCTACTATTTGGAAGGGCATCCGCAAAGCTTGGCCTATCATGGCGGCAGGTACTCACATGTGCGTGAAGGATGGTGAGACAACATCCTTTTGGACCGACAGATGGCTTGACAGTGGGGAGTGCCTCATTGACCATATCGTGGAGGACGCGCCGCCCTTTGATCCGCAAACTGCAGTAGCGGATTTTGTCATTTCACCAGGTGAGTGGAACATTCCCCTCCTGCGCTCATTGCTTCCTGAGGATTTGGTTTTGCAGATACAGGGGATTCAACCTCCCACAGAGGGCTCAGGAACGGACGTAGCCACGTGGGGACCCGAGAGAGATGGCCGATTCCGTGTCCGATCGGCCTATGATCTTGCAGTTAATCACGAGCAGATGGAGAGGGAGTTCGACTGGCGCATCATCTGGAAATGGAGAGGGCCAGCGCGGGTTCAGCATTTCCTTTGGCTTGCAGTTCGAGAGAGACTCCTCACCAATGCCGAACGGAGTCGGAGACACCTGACGGATCAGACGACGTGCACCTATTGCCATTCCCACCCTGAAACAGTCTTGCATGTGTTGCGAGACTGTGATTTTGCCAGGTTAACTTGGATGCGGCTACTCCAGGCTTCTGAATACCAGACTTTCTTCAGTTTGTCACTGCATGAATGGATTGCGAAGTACATAGATGAAGAGGACAAGGGCTTGGCCTTCGGCATCACTTGCTGGTCCCTATGGCGGACCAGGAATGACCGAGTTTTTGCAAACAAGGTCGTCTCAGTTGAAGCATTTCACCAGCGCGTCCTGGCTTGGTTAACTGTCGTGAGGACTGCCATGGACAAGGACAGGATCGTTCTTCATCCATGTCCGCCCGCTAGAACGGAGGAGCTGATCTCATGGAAGCCTCCTCCTCCCGAGTGGGTTACTCTCAACTCTGATGGCTCCGTTCATCAGGACTCAGGCTCTGCTGCAGCTGGGGGTCTGATCAGAGATCACTTAGGACGTTGCATTGCAGCGTTCGCTTGTAACTTGGGGATCTGCTCGATCACCCGAGCGGAGTTGAGAGGCGCTGCGGAAGGGCTTCAACTGGCTTGGGATCTGGGATTTCGTCGCGTGAGGGTGGAGTTGGATTCCAGATGTGCCATCCACCTTCTCAGCAGCAACGCGCACTCGGATCATCAGCATAGTGCTATTACTGACCGCATTCAGGCGCTATGTAAGCGTGATTGGGAGGTTGTCTTTTATCATGTGTATAGAGAGGGTAACAAGTGTGCTGATTATCTTGCTAGCCAAGGCCATTATTTGTCCCTAGGTGTCCATTCTTTTCCTGTCAGTGACCCCACCTTGATGTACTGGATTTTGTACGATGTCCAGGGGATTTCTGAGCCCCGTCTGGTTATGAATGAAAGCTAGGATGCCCCGCATCCATTTATCAAAAAAAAAAAACATAGGTTGGATATATGGGTACTCCAAATAATTAAGTAAAAGGAGATTTACTTATGGATTCGATAAGTCGGTCAATTTATTTGATGGTAATCAACTCGCAATTTGATTCAAATTGATTCCAATTATATGTTCAATGTTGGTCGAGGCATGTGGTCGAACCGGTCACTCTTAACTCTTGTCAAATGGCAGATCGACACGGATTTGTTGGGTTAATCACTAGATCTAGTGATTGTTATAGAATATAGATAGTGCGCAAATTTGGTAGTGGAGCTCCATGAAACCATCAATAAAAAAACTTGTAGTGGTGGAATGATAAGGAAGAAAAGGACAGCAATTCTTCAGTATCTTTTCTTTGTATTTTCTCACACTTTTGTTTCGCACTATCCTGAATCCTAATGGCAGGGAAGAAGTAATGTGCGCTCTTATCATTATATAAATAAATGGGTTTCTGTCATGTTTAATGATCTGATTCAGGCAGCTGGGGTTTGGAGCACAGGGATGTAGCGCATTTAGCTGTGTTTTCCATGACTACTCTTTGGTCTAAGGACAATTCACAATTAATTATAAAGGTTTGATAGCTATATAAAATAGCTCAACATTAAGAATAAGATTATTGCAATTAGGTCTTGGGTAGTTGGAATTTCGAGATTGGTCGCTCCTAGGTAACTAGTTGGATTCATTTGGAAAGGTGGTTTAGCAATGTGGTGCTTCACAAGCTCCTAAGTAGTTGGATTCATTTGGAATTTTGAGATTGCAATGTGGTAACTAGTTGAGATTGGTCGCTCCTAAGTAATCGAGTTAAGCTAGCTCGCGTGCTTCACAAGCTGAACAAGACTTAGTTCATGTTCGGCTCATTAATAAACAAGTTGAATTTCAAACAAAATTTTCCCGACTCAAAGCGAGCAGCTCGACTCACCGTACTAATTTTAAAATTTAAACAAAACATAGATTTTCACTTTCAGACATATTGATGGGCTGCTTGCATTGGTTTAGTTGGGTGGGATCCTATTGTTATTGTCTCGGACTCAAGAATGACACAGCTGACTGGGTGTTGCTGGCATATAGTTTTGGGCTTTTTCAGCCTAAAAGTGATGGACCTCGGACATTGATCACCAGTTCACTACCTTGCAATTTGTTTCCCTTCCTTTTCTTATCAAAGCAAAGTGTTTTGGATGAGTGATCACCTTGCATTTTTTTAGTTATCCGAAAAATCGTAAAGTTCCACCAGGAAAATTTCATTCGAAAGCAAAATTGGTAAGTGTTATTTAGCGTTAGCGGTATGAAACGGTTGAACCATGATTGAACCACGTTTCAGCATAAAATACCCTATTAAATATTTTTTTCGATACAACCTCAGATACGATTTTTCAATCATTGGTTAAAAGGACAAAATATATTTAAACTAGAAACTATCAATCAAATTTGTACTGAAATTATTATAAAAAGAATAAAATAAAAACTAAATTCTACTGATTGAGGAAGAAAGAAAATACGTCTATCCTACTTCCTCTTCTCTTTGTACTCTCACAACAAACACTTCCATCTTCTCAACTTCTTCATGGCTGTGATAATTATTCATCATTAAAACAATTTATCCATGCTTAGAAAGAAAAGTTATACAGTTATTTGTCAGAAAATAATAATTGATTACATCCTGATCTGCTTAACGAAAACTGAAAATGAATAAATAAAAAAGTCTCTTGGACGAACTTAAGCACTTGATTAATGAGATACCCTTAACCACCTAATCTCCTCTTCTCAACTAAGACCGAAAATGAAACATTTGTTACCCACGAAAGAAAGTTTTAGGGGTCGTTTGGATTAGAGATTCTAATGAGGGATTTCAGAGGAATTTTAGCACAATTTCTTATTATGCAGGATTTTAAAACAATTCTGCGTTTGGCAATGATGAGAGATTTTACAATTAAGAAATTTAAAAACCCTCAATCGTGGGTTTTTGAAATAGCTGATCACTACCAGCTATTTCTAAATCTCTCGTTCTTCTTTCATTTATTCCAAAACCTACCCTTGTTCGACCCTTCTTCCGCTAACCTTCGTCCTCAAACCACTCCACTGTCACAGACACAGAGCATCCCGGAGCAGCTTCCAGCTTTCCCCAACCACCGCCACAGTTGTCAACCTTCCCCCATCGTCCTTTGTCGTTGACTCCCAGTCGACTCAGCCATCCTCCTTGGCGGGAGATCTGGAATTTGGATTCAATCTATTACGCTTAACCGTTTCCTCACTGGTCGCCTTCACCGCCGCGCATGAACCCTAATAACAACCCATCCACAACTTCTCTGTGGCGGAGAAGCTCTCCCTTGGTTCTGGGTTCACTGGTCGCGCCGGAGACACCCGCCACGCCGACTCCGATATGCTATTCGAATATGCCTGGTAAAGAATCGAGAAGAAGCTGGGAAATTGGCGGGTTCAGATGGAATATTGGGAACGGGGAGGGGGTCAGATGGGAGAGAGAAGGGGGAATCGCCCAATCTGGGTTTCAATCGACTAGCAATTCTTTCTTTATTCTGCAAACCCAATCGCTTGGAATTGGAAGGGAGTGAGATTTTGGATTTGTGATTTTGGCATTGTTATTTATCTTTCATGCTGGGTTTTTTATCTTCTTCTTTAATATGCACACAGTTATGAGATTTTGGGTTTGTGATATAAGTATAAAAGAAAAGCAGCTTTTGTTGTAATTAATTATTGTAAAAGCAGGGGAAGAACAGATGATTGCTGCGAATAGTAGGTGTAGAAGAAGGAACCATTGTTCTAGTTTGTAATTTGATTGAGTAAATGAGGTAGAATATGAACAACCAACAAGTGAAGAAGACAAAGGATAATATTGTAAATTGAGTTTTAAGGTTAAAATTCTGCGTTTCAATCCAAACGAGTTATTTCGATCAAATCCCACATACAAATTTCCAGGTATTTTAAACGAGAGATTTTAATTAAAATCCCTCGTTATCAAAATCTCTAATCCAAACGACCCCTTAAGAATTTCTATCACAGCCAGAACACAAATGACCAAGGAACATGCTTTTTTGTTAGATAATCATAAATAATACATCCAGCCTGCTAGTTGTTAATTAGAAAGTGATAGATAATTAGAAGGAATTAATCCCATTCGATTAGAGAGAGCTAGCAGAGCAAAACGGAAGTCGAAAAACTAAAAAAGTAATAATAACCACCCGCATAGTCCCCGGCTCCGCGCAACGCCTCTCTCCTTCTCTCTCTCTCATTTGTTTTCTCATCCCTAAGCAATGCAGCGGCAGTCGCTAGGCTCTCCGGTCTCCAAGCTCCACTTCCATGGCGGATCCGACGACGCGGAGGTTTGCGACAATTCCGGCACCTCCTCGCTCTCTCCTCCTCCTCCTTCACTCCTGCTCGATTCCGACGACCGCCGCCTCAAAACAGCCAAATTACCTTCTCGCCGCCTCTCCACTTCCGCTTCCTCATCCTCCTCGCCGACTCCCACTCCGGAGAAGCTCATCCACCTGATTCCGATCATCCTCCTCTCCTGCTTCCTCATCCTCTACCTCGTCTCCAACAATCCCTCCCAATCAAGTAACAACAAAACAAATCCTACTTTCTCTCTCTCTCTATCTGTTTTCATTCTCATCCTCTTCCCCTAATTTCCGTGTCTGTTTCTGCAGATTCGCCGGAATTTATCCGTTTGAAGCACGCAGGTAAAATGCATTTCAGTTCCCCCATCCTCCTGCCATTTTTAAATTCCCATTCGTTCCGTCTCTTTTCTAGGGATTCTAAAAACAGAGACGTTTTCTCGCTGCAGCTTCGATCGAGATTGATTCCGCCGTCGCCGACAGCAAGCTGGGCGAGCTCAGAGCCAGGGAAGTGATGCCGATTCGGAGCTTCAGGAACTTGCAGGAGACGGCGCGCAGAATGTCCAGATCCCAACACCGGAAATTCGCCGGGCTCTGAAAACGGAACCCCCATCCGGCCCCCGACAGCTATATCCAGCTCCATCCTGCACTGTAAATCCGCAATTTTAATTTGAATTAGTTGATGTGGATTAAAATTTTTCGTTTGATGTGAGCTTCTTTTTTGCTTTGTGCGTGACTCGTTTTGTTGTGATTGGCTGGATAAAAGAGTAGCGATGGATTTGAGTAATTAGTGTGATAAATTAGAGAAAGACACCGCGATTAAGGATATGATTTAATTAGAACAGAGGAAGGGAATATGATTATGAAAATTATGATCATTGATCGTGCGGTCCAGCTGGAGAATTTATTGGGGGAATGGATAACAAACGCTGACTTGCTCAGTAAATCCTCGATGTGAGGGCTCGACTCTCGAGTGAAGACGACCGTTGGGATCTAGCTGTCAGGGAGTGAGTAGCGAAGGCTTTTATTAAATGGGCCGGCCCACAAACAGCGTTTATTCAATGGGCCGAAGGTTGATTAATCTCTTGCGCCGACAAAATCGTAATCGTCTGATTACGAAACGAACAGGATCGTGAAGGTGGATTTTAGTATATTTTAGGATTAATACCTTAGTTTGGTCCAAACTATAGACAAACTCTCTACTTTGGCCCGTGGTATCGGAAATTGTTATTCTGGCCTAAACTATGTAGCATACTTTCTTATTTGGCTTGGAAGCGGGCTTGACCGTCAAATTAGACGGTCAACTCGGTTGACCGTTAGTCAAAGTCCACCTCACTTGCCACGTCAGCTATCAAGGAATAAAAAATTATTATTTTTTGAATTTTTTAGTTTTGTTTACTTTCTAAAATTAAGTAAATATAATTTGGGGAGCTTTTTTAATTAATTTTTTCGTTTATTATTTTTATTATTAGAAAGTAAAAAAAATTCAAAATACAAAATTAACTTTTTATTCCCTAATAGCTGATGTGGCAAGTGAGGTGGACCTTGACTAACGGTCAAACCCGCCTCCGGGCCAAATAAGAAAGTATGCTACATAGTTTAGGCCAGAATAACAAATTCCGATACCACGGACCAAAATAGAAAGTTTGTCTATAATTCGGGCCAAACTAAGGTATTAACCCTATATTTTACCCAATTGACTAAAGAAATGCACCTCGACGTTCTTGTGCAAGAATCACAAAGGGAGAAAAGGAATGACTATTTATTTCGTTATATTATCTTGTGATTGTGAATCCCAAAATAACACGTCGAGATTGTAATGCAAATGCCAAGTTAGTCCAACAAAACGGGGGGGAGACAATTTTTTGCAGTTTTTACATAAAAGCACTTGAAAAATCAATGAGCAGCATCTTCTTCCTCGCAGAATTTAGTGTAGTCCTTTGGGCCCATCAAGCTTTCCAGCTCCGATGGGTTGCTGGGCTTCACCTTTATCATCCACCCGTCTTCATATGGGCTCGAATTCACCTGTTTTTTTTTTTTTTTTAAGCAACAAACAGAAATTAGTCAATTGATTAATCATGTAAATGTGGTTAGAGAAAAGGGTGTTAATTAGTATTAAATTAAATTATTAATACATTGTTTACATACCAGGCCTGGGGCTTCACCGAGCTTGTCGTTGACTTCCACGACCTCGCCGGAGACGGGGGAGTTCACATCGCTGGTTGCCTTCACACTCTCAATGTTAGCAAAGCTGCCGCCTTGGCTCACGGCAGCGCCTACCTCCGGCAACTCCACGAACACCACTTCCCCCAAGTGATCCTACCAGTAGTTTACATCACCATTTCTTGCTCAATAAGTTATTAGTGTATAAAGCAGCAATTAAACTCGCCGCAATTTGGATCATGTATCGTAACAAAGAGTGGTATAAGAATAAAGATTCAACATAACCTTCTCCCAACAACTCGAGTTATTGGGACTAATTGATTTATGACATGGTATTAGAGCCTGATTTAGCCAAGTCGTCGTGTGTTTGAATCACCACGACCCCCAATACTAACAGTTGATTAAAGCACAAAGTATGGTGATCGCTTATACAAACTTCAAACTCATGGGTTGACTTTCGTTATCAGTTGACATTTCTTCTGGTTAACAATGCCTCTAATAAGAAATAACATCGGCTTCCGGTTTAGGGTAACCTAATTGACGAATGGTTGACCGGAGACACCCCTCAAACGAAAGCTACTCATATTAGTTTGAAGGTTGTACAATTATCATACATTATGTGTTTAATAACGGGGTTATCGAGATTCAAACAGTAAATGTCTCACTCACATGAACCTCAGATATCATGTCAAAACCAGCGAATCCTAATAATTCGACTAATTGGGAGAGACTAATAATAATTTATAATCTTGTACCACATGATAAGAAGCACTAATGCATTCGACCAACAAAAAAACCCAACTCTCTAATGCTTTTTTGCTCACTCTATCCATATCCATACCAGTACGCGTACTAACAACATAATTCAGTAACCAGGATTCATTGAAGAGATACCTGAGCATGATCTGTGATGCCAACAAGAGCAACAGAACCTTCATGCTTCACCCACTCGTGCGACTTTGCATACTTTAAGCCGTCCAGAACTGCGAGCGCACAATGTTTTCATCCTCCCATTACCACTAAAAATCGACAAGGCCTGTGTGAGTATAGTAAGATTGTTTAGTTGATGTGAACTTACCAGAGGAGAAGCATCTGGACAGAGGCGCCAGGGCTGGAGCTTTGGAAGCAACAGAGAGGCCTAGAGCATTGGCAGTGGAAGATGCCCAAATCCTGAGTGCCATTTTTTTTTCCTCTCTGGTTTGTTTCCAAGATTATCTCCCCTGTTGTTTCTGGGTTCCCTTTGCTCCAAAATGAAAGGCCTCTCTCCCCCCTCTCTTTCTTCTTTCTGGTGTTATATCTTGGTTTTCAGTTTTTGCAGGAAAAAAAAAGGGTTTTATCTTGGATGAACGGTGAGCAGCAAAAGCCTCATCCTTTTGTCTCATACGGCTAATTGGCACTTGCTCTTTCTTCTTTCCAGAGCTATTGCTGTTTTTCGTTTCCCCCCCCCCCCCCCCCCTACTCAATCGGTGCAACAATGGCTTGGGCTCTCGGCCCGCGTTTCCATCATCAGGCCCATGTCCCAAAAACTGGTTCGCGCCAAAGCCCATAAGACCACACCGTGACCTCGGTAGAGAGGAAATCAAACCGACGAAAAAGGAATTTGGGGAAATCAGAGATCGAAATTGATCAGCCATGGTGGAGATCGTCGAGGAAGAAGACGGCGGCGCTCCTCGGAGTTCCAGAACCGGAGAATTCGTCAACGGTGGCGTCGAGAAGAAGAGAATAAAAGAAGTGAATATGGTGGAGATCACGCTCAAAACAATTGGCCCTTCTCCCTCTTCTCGCCTCCACATTCCGTCTCCCGTCACGGTACCACTCCCTTTTACCTCGCTCTTCTCTTTCCCCGCTTATGGTTTCAGTTGCAGGACCTTCATTCAGAGCTCAGTTAGACATCTGTTGTTGCCCTGTGTGTTACTTTGGATTCCCCTGCTAGGAAGTCCATTCTGTCTTGTTATGCTGGTTTATGCAATTGCAATTTGCAAAGGCTTGTTGAAAAGTACCAATGGTGTTGCAAAATACTTATCATTTATGGTTCTTAGTATGTGCTTTTACTTGGCTTTCAAATGAATTAGGTGCGTGACTTGAGGAAATTGATAGCTGAAGATAAGAATCTTCCGGTTGAAAATCTGAGAGTAGTCTTGCACGGGAAGATGGTGGAAGATGGTGGAGATGATGATAGGCTCGTTAGACTAAAGGATAGTGGTAATTCCTTTTTATTGGTATCTCTCTCTGTGTCAAGCATTATGTCCTATGTTGTAGAGATAGTGCCTTGAGTCTGACGAATGAAAGTAATCTCGGAGAGCATTGGCTGGAACAACGCAAAGTACCTTTCTTGCTTCCCCAAGAATCCCAAAAGGAAATCATATAGAGCATGGCTCGAACAAAACGAAATTCGTTGTCTTGGTTTTCTCTAGGAAGCAAATGTATTTATCATCTGTAATAAATCCACAATGCTCCTACTATATTTGCATTAGTCAGCCTTCTGATCAAAGCTCTTAAATGGATAGCCTGCAACTTCAAATCTACCTCGATTTTTGTTTTCCGGTTGCTAGATGGCTCTATCATTCAGTTTGAGAACCATGTCAAAATTTCGGCCTAGTGTTTTGTGAACATTCAACTGTTTATACAAAATAAGTGTTCTTAGCGTCATGCACTTATCGTAAATCTTCTTTTGTCTTTTATTTTCTAATTGTTGCTGTTTTATCCAACTTTTAGATTCTTTGATTGTGGCTGTGAAACCAAAACCTCCTGCTAAGCATCTCCAGGATGGATGTGACGACGACGATGATCTGGTACCTCTTAATAAGTAAATGCCATTGAGCTGAGACTACTTGGTTCTGTGAAATAACTTCTTTAGGCAAATTTTCTCATCTTACTTCTTGGGTAACCAGAAATTTCAGCTGCCACAATCAACAAGTCCATGGAAGAGAAAGCTGTACTTTTTTCTTCGCCACAAGTTGAAACTTCCAGGCAAGCTTCCTGTGGTAGAGTTCTTGCATCTTTAGTTTTGCCTACCAATATCAGACCCTTCTTTGTTTAAAATGCTCTTCGCTTTGTTGTGAGCAGATATGCTTTTAGCTGGACTTTTCTCACTCTCTGCAAAGGTTTGGGCGGTTGTTATTTTGTGGTTCATTTTGGCACCTGTTGCTAATAGATGGCATCTTGGTCCTTTATATGTAAGTTCTTCTGCCTCTTCATTTCCTTTGTAATTAATGCATGCACTTTATGTTTATCTGTTAGAGCCTTAGAGGTCACAAGACTAGTTGATTGTGTGAAAAGCAACATCTCTCTCTAATAACTATTTGTGCTCCTGCCATCCTTGTTAACCTAAAGCCAGACTGAAACATTTAAACCCTTAAAATCAAGGGGAGATCTTGGACATACGCTACATATGTGCTTTTGAACAAATAAGTTACCATTATCCAAATCCTGAGCCTGACTCAAGTGACTGCTTAACTTTCAGATACTTGGCACGGGCTTTGCAATTATCTTCCTGAATCTGGGACGAAGGCAAGCAGGAGACGTTAGGTATGTACTATGGTCGAACGCAAAAAACCCTGCTCTAATGGCTTCCATTAAAATTTCAAAATGAAATGGATGATGACTATGCTTACCTTACCCGTTTCGAACCTAGGATTTCCTTAAGCGCAAGTTAGAAGAGCTAACAAACAAATCTTAGTAAACTAAGCTTTTGCTTACAATCTATTATAACTATTCTTATTTTTTCTACATATCAAAAGACATCTCCAATAACTCAAACTTGCACCATATAGTCCTACTCGATAACTTGAATTTAAAGAAATTCAGTAGGATACATTTATTCCGGTTCTCTATAGTCTCCAGAAGAGTTTAGGAGTGTAAAGAAATGCAGTTTCTGTTTCAATTGTGACAAGATATGCACCAAACAATTCATAACTTGCACACCAAATATGCAACTGTGATTTTCTTTTTTTGTGTTTTTCCCCTCAACCTAATTTGAACCTTTTGAGCTTCTAGATGATGTCTAGCAATCTTCTGTCATTCATATTCATGTCTGTATTCTTACATACTCCAATCCCTCTTTGTACTTCATATGATATCTAACCACTTTGGCCGCTAGAGATCTCTGCTATATCCTGCATATTGGTTGATCGTTAATAAGAGCTACCTGGCTTTCTGTGAATTTTACAGCGCATATTCAATCTTCAATGAAGACTTCAGGGAGCTTCCCGGCACTCTGAATGCTGATCGCTTGGATAGAGATATCCGTGCTGGTCAGATGTGAGAGCCGATAACTTACGTTTGTTGGAAAAAAACACATTTGCCAACTGCACAGAAATTTTTTGTTGTATATGTTGTTAACCCTATTAAGTGATATGGTGTAGTATATTTCTAAGTGATGAACCCTCTGGAGTAGTGAATTCTGATGTTTACATCATTTACTGATGTCAGCATATATGTGAACGGGGCAAAGGAAAACCAGTGTGTCGGATACTGGATCATATCAATCAGTTGTATCAGCTTAGATGTGATTTGTTGTTCAAGCTTCTACGATTTCATTACGATCTTATTAAGGTTTCCGCATTGTGTGTACGTGATCTGATCGTTGTATCATTAGTCTCGCCGGAAAAGAGTATGAACTAGTGCTTGGTTTCATGGAAGGGATGTAGAGAGGTTTTGGAAAGAAAGTCTGCTGTAGGATGTGTGATGTGAAGAGTTTGGGTGAAGAGAAATGGAGTAGTTCCACTTCTTTGTAGTGGAATGTGATGAGAGCTTTGGGATAAGATTATACGGTAGGGTGAAGAACAGAGGAAGTGAGTTCACCAACGAGTTTACCTACTCAACTATACCAAATAGTGGATCACATTCCCATGCCTCGCTAGTAGGGTTGTGGTGTAGAGGTTCCAAATTGACTAGCTACTATCAATCCAAATATTGATAGTCCGATTCGTTCCTCGCTCCCAAGTAGGGGCGACGGTTCGGTTTGAGGTTTTTTTTTTTTGTTTCAACCGACGCCAGATCGGTTTTGCAGGCTTATTGGTTTCACGGAGAAAATCGATAAGCTCTTAAGGGTTTCGAATTTGGTTGAAACCGAAAAATTGTAATAAACCGATACATCCTTAACGCTGTTAAATGTTCTTTTTCAGTTTTATGGTTTATTATAACCGGAACCGAAAGTATTAAGAGGTTATCGATTTTCGGTTAGGCGATATACCCTTGGCAACTTCGGTTTTTAGAGAGTTGACTAATTCGCTTTTCGATTGAGTTAACAGAATCAAACCACCACCCCTCAGTTGATAACTAGTTAGCTAGGTTGGTGGGAGTGGGGGAACCTTGTGTTGTGCTGTTGAGTTGACAAAACCAAAAACCCAGAGACAAAAGGAGTTTGAATTCGAAGACACAAGCCATTTTCTATAGGTAAGAAAGAAAAAAATTGATTGATAGATGCTTCGAATGTGCTCCTTACTAGGTTTTGCAAAGAAATTTGAAGTCTGTTCGTTGACTTCATTGATACACACGTTTTGACTACAAACACACAGATCTGCTCTCCCATTCATAATCTAGACCCAATTAGATTTGGAAATTTACAAAGAGGATTTCACACTGTTTTGGCGTTAGTTTTTGGGGAGTTGCTAAATGCTAACCAACAAACCTCTTTGACTTAAATCCCAAAACCCCAAAAGAAAAGAAAAAAAAAGTCATCAACAAAGAAACGTACACAAATCCATTCCATCCCCACCACCCAAACTTTGGCCTCTTTTTCTCCTTTCAGTTTTTCCCCTCAACTCTTTGCTCTTCTTCTTCTTCTTCTTCCCGCCTTCACATTGCAAACAATTTACTTCTTCTCTCCCTCTTCAGACTTCACCGTTCTCTACAACCCCAAATTCAAAAAAAAAAAAAAACTCAAATACTAGTAGTCTTCTCCCTTTGGCCCTGAGTCAAGCCGGTTTGATTTGAAAAAACTGCGTTGGATCGTATATCATTGACTTTGGAATTGGATTTTGGAGAGAACAAAATGATTAGAAAAAAGAAATGACGGGATAGATTCGAGTTTACATTAATGGATTGGTGTTTTAGTTACTTTTCCCCCAATCTTGTACTAATAATATTTAGTTGCTTCATTCTTTTAGGACTTACTTTTAGACTATTTAATGTGGTGTTGTCTAACCATTCTCGCTCGTAAAAGAAAATACAGTCACTAAGAGTTGTGATATTAAGGTTGAGAATCAAATTGAAGAGAATATATTACGATTGAATCTCACCGACCTATTATCTGCTCTACAGTAGAGAGTCCAAAGCAGGTCGATCATTCAAATGTGCCCATTCAAGATTTGTTTTTATCACATGTAGTATTGGATGTGAATAATTTTGAGAGATTACAACTTAGTTGTTGGAATTTGGCTATCATCGCCCAACACACTCTT